TTGATATCACTTATCGTCCGGCCATATTGTGTACTATTTTCAGTAAAACGGTAATGGATTTCACTGAATGTCCTTGTAATAAAAAATGAGATTGCACAGTCGACGTGTGTCAGAAATAAACATTAACATGCTGTTCCAATATTTTAGAGTTTGTGCTGTTTATACAATATGACGCTATGTTTGGAGATTCGAGACTAGATTAGTGTGCAGTCTGTTATATTTACATATGTGCTTTGCAGACACTGGACACTTGCTTGCAAAAACTTTAAGCAATTGTTTACTTTTTTGAGAATGCTGTTTTATTACTTTTTTTCAAATATTAACTCATTTTAATTTCTAACATGTTATATTACATATTTAATTTTAATAAAGTTGTACATAGAGCCAGACCGATATATCGGCCGGCCGATATTAGGCATTTTCCAAACTATCGGTATCGGCACTTATAATGGCCGATAAATGAATATTTCAAAAATAACATAAAAACAGACGAAACACGCTTGAACCATGTCTTGAGTGTTGGAGTTGTATGGTTTGTCCACCAGAGGGCGCTCTACACCGTCCCTGTTGGCAACACTCGTTGAATTGTTCACGATACATACGTTGCTTGAATAACAATTAAAAGATCATCCCCTTCAGTTCTCTTAACTCAAATAAGCATGACAAAATTTGTGACTATCATGTCCAGTTTAAATAAATAAATAAAATAAATAAATAAAATATTGGCCGATATATCGGAATATCGGATTTTAAAACCCAAAAATATTTGTATCGGTATCGGCCTTCAAAATCCTTTATCGGTCGGGCTCTTGTATGCCTGTATGTGTGCATAAACATCCAACTAGAGTAAAAATGTCTTTGTTAAACCATTCTAGCAGCAGAACTGAAGCTGATGATCCCCTTTCCTTTTAATTATCAGTCTTGGAAGTGTTAATTGCACAAATCTTCTCGGCACTTTTTTGCTCAGGGTAATAGTGCCTTTCTGAAGAGCTTATATAAAACCTGCACTGAAAATAGTTCCTCTGCACAAGGACTCACATTTGACCATGTTAATAATTAGGTAGAGTATAAGCAGATTCTTATAGGATAAATGATGACCTTCACGCTGTTCTCAGTAATACTGACACCTGTTTGAGATGTGCTGAATAAGTTCACATCAGATTTGTGTTGGCGCTGCTGTTGAGGCCGTCAGAGACAGAAGGCTGGTGTCTCTTTGCTGGAATGCTAATGTGATCTTTGACGATGGGATGTGGTGGCGAATCCCTGACATAAAAATGAGCGCTCTCTCTCTCTCTCTCTCTCTCTCTCTCTCTCTCTCTCTCTCTCTCTCTCTCACAGTCTATTCCCTCACTATATCTCTCTTTTTCACTCACCCCCTGGGTAGTAGACAGTCACTGTGACATGTGCAGGTGCTTAAGTGATGGTGTCCCAGTTTATTAAATGAATATTTGACACGCCAGCTGTTGATTAATGAAGGGAAGCTGAAGTTCCTCCTCAATCTGCTACCGCTTGACATAATTATATGACACCATGTATTTTACACGTAAGCAATAAGGTACGAGAGGCTGTGCTGTATCGTGAATAAGTAACGGCTGAAGGGCGTTGTTAGGCACGACGTGAAGCGGATCCCTATTAATATCAGTTAACGGTATCGGGCAACCCTATTAATATCGGTTAACGGTATCGCCCAACCCTATTAATATCGGTTAACGGTATCGGCCAACCCTTTTAATAAAAGTTAATGTATCGGCCAACCCTATTAAAATCGGTTAACGGTATCGGCCAACCCTATTAATATCGGTTAATAGTATCGACCAACCCTATTAATATCGGTTATCGGTATCGGCCAACCCTATTAATATCGTTATCGACCAACGCTATTAATATCGGTTAACGGTATCGACCAACCCTATTAATATCGGTTAACGGTATCGACCAACCCTATTAATATTGGTATCGGCCAACCCTATTAATATCGGTTAACGGTATCAGCCAACCCTATTAATATCGGTTATCGGTATCGGCCAACCCTATTAATAAAAGTTAACGGTATCGGCCAACCCTATTAATATCGGTCAACGGTATCGGCCAACCCTATTAATATCAGTTAACGGTATCGGCCAACCCTATTAATATCGGTTAACTGTATCGGCCAACCCTATTAATAAAAGTTAACGGTATCGGCCAACCCTATTAATATCGGTCAACGGTATCGGCCAACCCTATTAATATCGGTTAACGGTATCGGCCAACCCTTTTAATAAAAGTTAATGTATCGGCCAACCCTATTAAAATCGGTTAACGGTATCGGCCAACCCTATTAATATCGGTTAATAGTATCGACCAACCCTATTAATATCGGTTATCGGTATCGGCCAACCCTATTAATATCGTTATCGACCAACGCTATTAATATCGGTTAACGGTATCGACCAACCCTATTAATATCGGTTAACGGTATCGACCAACCCTATTAATATTGGTATCGGCCAACCCTATTAATATCGGTTAACGGTATCAGCCAACCCTATTAATATCGGTTATCGGTATCGGCCAACCCTATTAATATCGGTATCGGCCAACCCTATTAATATCGGTATCGGCCAACCCTATTGATATCGGTTATCAGTGTTGCAGTGTTGCGCAGTGATAAATAGAACTGTTGGGTGAAGTGGTCATAGACGTGTTTTATCGTGAATAAAGCACAGCTATTGACAGCTATTGATCAGAATCAAGGATTGGAACTAACCGTTTTATAATACCAATTAAGGAAGGTTGAAAAATGAAAAGCATGATTTGAAAACAGGGTTGCACGATTTAGGAAAAATCTGACATTCGTATATTTAGTTTTTCTGCTATATTGCGTTATGAAAACAGTTTCACCAGATGACTTAAAGTTCTATTTGGAAAGAATTAAATCTCAGGGTATATGTCAATAAAATGCTTTATGCCAAAGAGGTTTGGCTTACAATTTGTTTTGGCAATCCCTGCATAGTGCATAAATGTTTTTATATTTCCTGTATTTAAATGTTCATTTAAATAACCCTTAATTTATCAATAGATGTTGTTCAATCTAATTGAAGTATTTTTTTTTTTTTTGGTTCAAGACTGTTTACTGAAAAACATTAACCTGATATGAACCATGAAAAAAAAGTTGTTAACATTATTGCATTATTGTTAACATTACGGTCGTTTGAAAAACTGAACAAATGTAAACGTAGTAACCACAATAACCTCAGAATACAGCCAGAACAACGGTTAGAAAGAGGAAATAGGAGGGAATATGCAGTGTCATTTGTGCTTCTCCATTCTTTCTCATTTGCTTGTACACCTAGTAATTCTGGGTGTTTAAAGTCACAAAGCAAAGTTGAAGGTCCGAACATAGCATCCCGCTATATTGGTATCCAGCCGATGCATTCACACATTCTGCTTCTGGATGCATTATGTTTCTGTTACCTGCTTAAAGATTTTGTATTAGGGTTGCATAATATTGAAGAAAAATGCGATAACTTGTGTATGTGTCCAGTCTACTCTCTGCTGCCTGCGTCTACCTAAAATTTGGACTTTTTGTAATCTTTTGAAGTATTAAAAGCCGTTGCGATATGCATGTCATGATATGTGGCATTTCGATATTTCATGCATAAAGTGTAATGCATTTCTGAATCAAAACCGTCCGATATGCACATGAGAGCGAATCTTGTGTTTTCTCTAAATGAGCTGGTTGCTTATTCACAGACGCATCACCAATGCCATGCGGTCTCCAACACAGATCTCACATTTCACTCCCGTTATGATGGAGGATGAGATGCCGCTCGACTGGCTCCATCATACAGCCAGTCAGTAGCGTGATGTGAAGTAGGGGTAAAAATGTTCTCCGCGTGAGCTGTGTCCTCAAAGACAGGTTTGTAGTTCTTAATCTCGCGCAACCTTGATTTCATTGTATCGAAGGAGACCGCATTCATCCTATGGCTTAACCTGACGAACCTGTTAACTGTGGTGCCCACATAGTGACACGTGATGTGGGATGCTGGCGGTGGGTGTAAATGAATGTCACTCTTAATGTAGTCGTGCTTGACAGTGAATCTATTCATCCAGCTAAACGCAGAGACATTCAGAAGCAGTTGAACAGAGTGAAAATTATGGGCACAAAGCCTCTGCTTGTGTTTAGTATGCGTGTAGCCGATCAGGGATGTTGTACGCTGCAGAGTAAACGAGTTGAGGGCTTGCCTGGTCAGCTCAGCACTTGATTTCTTCCTAGCTACGGTATTGGTTATTTTAAGCAGCCAAAGCAAATCTGTATCTAATGTGTAGAGGATACTTTTCAGTGCCTTGGGGTCAACTTTGATCACAGTAGTAAGCAATTACATTGGTATTTTAGTATTTATTAATATTTTGTATTTCATTTTAATTTTATAATGTGCTTTTGTCATTAGTTTCTCTTACAAATATTAAAGCTTACATTTATATTTTCAATTTAAGTACTGAATGTTGTTTCAGTTTTTTTGTTTTATAGCGTTTAATATTTTGAACCACCTCTTATTTTTATATTTACACTTTCCATTTTAAATGTAAGTTTTAATAATTGTATGTTATGTGCTTTTGACATTTTATTTAACATTTAAGGACTCTTTAAATATTTTAATTCAATTTATTTAAACTAATTTCAGTGTTTTATCCATTTAATTTTTTTTTTATTTCAATTTCCTAAAACCATTTTTTTTTTAACTGGGGTGATACGTGTATTATTACCTATCTAGTTAAATGATAGTTTTTAAGTTTTGCTACTGCCTTAAAAATGTGTTTATAATCTGCATTGTAACAATGAACCTGTCGACCTTTCTAAACTGTGCGTTGCATTAAATGGTTTCACCTCTTTAGCTCGAGCACTTCCTCCTTTTTAACATTGCTCTCTTTCGTCTTGCACATTTGTTCTGCACACTTTCAGTCTAGTGCTAAATCTGATCACATCTGTAATCTTTCCGTCTCTCCTCTGTTTACAGTTTTATCTCCAGGACACCAAAAGCAGCAATGGCACCTTCATCAACAGCCAGCGTCTGAGCCGGGGGTCGGAGGAGAGCCCTCCCTGTGAGGTGCTCTCCGGTGACATCATTCAGTTTGGGGTGGATGTGACCGAGAATACCCGGAAAGGTGAGGAAAGCCTGTTTGCATTAGTGGTGAAAGTGAAATGTGTGTTTGTCTGTACCGAACTCGGTACTTTTAATGGCACCGACCAAATTAAGTCGATACTACCGAGTACTGATTCACATTAAATCAATCTGTGATAAATTTCGGTACCTGAGAACGCATCTGGGTGCGAGAGTAATACTATTTAAATACAAATCCTGCATGTTCTGTGTGAATGAGTGGCACAGACGTGTGGTTTCATGTACCCCACACACACACACACACGCACGCACTGAAGCACGCGTGACACTAGCTGTGTTTTTCAGACTCTGCAGTCTCACTACATGAGAACACAGTGTTGTAGTACTCGAGTCTCGAGACCATATTTTAATGGTCTTGGTCTTGTCATGGACTCGTGTCCATTTGGACTCGGAATTGACTCGTACTCGAACATTTTTTTTTAGGACTCGGAATTATTCCCAAATCCACTCGAGTTCAATTAAAAATATTTTTCATGATTATTAATGTATGTTAATAAAATATTTCTTTAAATTGATTGACACGCCCAGTGATTGGTGATTTTCTAGATTTTCAACTGCGCATGACAAATTGTAATAAAATTACTTTTAACACCACCTACTATGTGGCCTTTTTTACCCTAAACTGATCATATTTTTTAAACTCTAAGTAAATTCAGTAAAAAAAAAAAAAAAAGATTTCTCTAAGTAAATAAAAGTAAATTAGGTAATCAACCCTCACTGGTCTCGGTCTCGACTCGGACTCGACTCACTACTCGAGTCACTGAATTCATCAGCATTTTTCAGTTTCATTTAAGAAAAACTATCATTACATCATCAACACTGTCTTCACCACAACCCATCAAAATAAAAGTAAACTTGATAATATATTACTGCAGTACATTACAATTTAGCTGTCTCATTTTAATTCTAATATAATACTAACACTAATAATAGATCATAAAAAATATTTTTTTAAGGAATAATCACACTTTTTCCTCTATTTTCTCATTTTAACTGTATAAAGCTCAATTGTGTTAGCAAAAAAAGTTTAATTTCATATAAAAGATCAATTAAATGTTATGTCTTCATTTGATTACTAGAAAATTCACAACACAGAATTTGTGAAAAGCAAAACATTTCATAGAAATAATTTTTTATTATTATTAAAATGGTTGTTTTGATTAATATTCAAGCATCACAGACAATTGCAGACTGACCGATGCAGCTCTTGCATAATGTCAATAACATTTCTACAAATGACTTGTAGAGTGTTAATTTGGGGCTTGTTTCTTTATAGTGTAATAGAGGACACCTTCGATTGAAAGTTGAAGACTTTGACACATGCAACTGTTACAAACTGCACTTTTTGAAGCTTCGGCAATGGCAGAGATGCAATTTTGAAACCCAAGAGTGCTGGTTGATTGCTTTTCTGGATGTGTTGCAACTTAAATACATGCAATGGGACGCTTTCACAATCAGACACAAATGCAAAGTAACTGACCCTTTTAAAACTAATGTAAGCACACACTACTTAATAGCAGAACGGAAGCACGTAAGAATGAGAACCCGTTAGGAGCGCTGTATTTTAAATGGCAAGGCCAGTTTAGTTTGGAAACTTGTTTTGTTGTGTTTTTAATTCTTAGCATTGTTGCGGCACAAGTTGGCTTCGCATCATCAGAACACCAGGAAATCTTCTCTGGATGTTTTTGCTGATCATAAACACACTCATTTTTAAAGCTGATAGTCTTGCTTCTTGGATGATCTCATATTACTGCTTGTTATAAACATTTTTATGGCCTGTTTATGTTTGGGATAACCTGTACCTTTCTTTAAATTCTTATTAAATAAATTATTTGCATGTCTTTTTAGGTACGACCACTGTTGTTTATGTACCTGCTTTTCTCTTGTTCTTATTAGTCACTCATGGCTGTATAGTGTCGACCATCAAGCTCTTCTTACCAGATGGCATGGAAGGTCGGCGGCGATCAGAGTAAGTCCTGTTTGAATATTTTTACTTTTTTTTTTTTAATCCGTCATTCGCTCAACCTGGTGTGTTATTGTCATTAAGGTTGTGCTTACCAGCTTTATCATTTATAAAAACATGCACAGAATGTGATAAAATCTCTGACAACTGAGGCTTACAGCTGCTGATTATACTGATTCAGTTGACCAAAACAAGATTTGCCTGTGCTTATTCAGAGGAAATGATATGTGGGCTGTTAGTTGGACTGCTAGATGCCAAATGTTGAATGACGGGAATTAGTGGTGGATCAGATCTGGGCTTTTACGCTGGTATTGGTTCTGTGGTTGTTGTCATTTCCCATGTTTATTTTCTTGGTTATTTAGAAAACGCAAGTATTTACATATATAATCTAACCACATGCCACAATCATGCTCTGTGCCTTTCCATTAAGTCTTTTGGTTTAGCTGAATATTCCAAATGAAATTCAGCGTAAGGTCCATTTACAGCATCTATGGCATCGAAATGATTTGGACTAACAGTCACTTGGTTTTTAGTTCATAAAATGTATGTGTGATGTTGTGTAAGAACTATAGGTTTACTTTTGCTTTGTTCTTTTTTTTATGAATTTCATGTACATTACTGATAAGAAAAAAAATGATTATTAATAATAATATCAGTTATTTCACTGAAAAGCCATCAAATGAGAGCTGTCACAGAGTATACTGGGAATGTCAATTTATGAGTTGTAAAACTTGCTTGTTCTTTTTTATGACTGTATATTTAACAGTATGTAACTGTAAAATTGCATGAAATTAAATTGCCACATTAGATCTATTCCAGTTTTTCCACCGTATATAGTAAGGGGACTTGCTGTTACCAATAAACAGGTTTTGACCATAGGATTTATTCAGTCTTTTACTGTTAATTACGATCTACATACATACTGGTACATGCATGCATACAAAGTTCAAGTTCAAAGTTTATTTGTCACATACCAGTTATAGTTCATACAACGAGCAGTGAAATGTAAGTCTGGTATCCCTATAGACTCTATTAAAACCATACCTAAATACTAAAAAAAGATAAAAAAAAAATTAAAATAGTATTAAGTTATTGAAGTTGTTCTCTTAACTACATGCATAAATACATACCGGTACATGCATACATACATGCATGCATACACACCAGTACATACATACATGCATGCATGCATACACACCAGTACATGCATACATGCATGCATGCATGCACACCGGTACATATATACATACATGCATACATACCAGTGTATACAAGCATACATACGTACCGGTACATACATACATGCATACATACATACATGCATGCATACCGGTGTATACATACATACGTACCGATACATGCATGCATACATACATACATGCATGCATACCTACCGGTACATGCATACATGCATACAGGATGCCATTGATTTAATAGCACATTTTTCATCAAATTGTAATCATAGCTTGCAAAAAGGTGATGTTTTATGCTTCAATTTCTTTTGGTGCATGGCTCACTGTGACCCGGCCAGTTATTGATTTTTGATTGGATTTGTGTGATTCTGCACGAATGTCTGAGACGAGAGATGAGCACAGGCTCCACAGGGGTCTCGTGGGTCTCATCCGCCTCCATCTGCTCCCCGTTCCATTTTGACAGCATTAGTCGAGTGTCACCAAAATCCACACAGGTTTTCTTACATTGAAATCTAGGTGTACACCAGCCATGTGCACCAACTTTACGTTTCACCTGCATTTTCTTCATTTAGTTAAAAGCCATTTATTGAGCTGCCATCCACGGTGCAGAGCCAAACAGTCGTCTAGTTAGTAATCTGATGCTCTGCATGCCGGGTGTTTATTAAATTCATGAAGAGGGATATTGATGGTCTTGTTGACGGAAGGGATTTCCTACCACCGTATGAATGCTATATGTTTGACTGTGCATGTATCATCGGCTGTAAAAATCGTTTAACGGAAGGCATCCGTGGAGCAGATGGCTCTCCCATTGAACGCTTCCCTGTGGCCTCCAGTGCTGGCAGGACCTGTTAAACCAACTCGCGTTGAAACAAGGTGTGTACTGTGGGCATTTCTGGAGCTTTAAAAGATTTCATGCATCTCCTCGTTTAGCGTGGAAGTGCTCGCTGAATGAAGCTGACAGGGAAATCTTAGAGATCTTTACTTTTTCTAAACTACATAAACATAGGGGTGTGGGACCACACACCTTGAGTCTCAGCGTCTCTAAATCCTCCTGGTGGCTCGATGACTGAACCTCTTTTCTTTAACCCCTGCTCTGTTAGGGATGGGTCAGTGATTGTTGACTGGTCGTTTAATAATTTACTAGTTTGTTAGTGGGGTCAGCTTCCGAGTATATCTAGATTATTATTTTTTCTGTATATAACATGTATGATAAAATATAACACGTTCCATGTTAGTGGTTCTCAAACCTGTCTTGGAGTACCACCAACATTTTGTATGTCTCCCTATATCTGACACACCCATTTCAGGTCTTGCAGTCTCTACTAATGAGCTCATGAGTTGAATGAGGTGTGATAGATGAGAGAGACATACAAAATGGCTACGTTTACATGCACAACTTCTGTTTCGATCCGACTGAATTCATTCCGATTGATGAATCCGAACGTAGTGTTTACATGAACGGTAAACGTGATCAAGTTGATGTGTGTGTTCAGTGTTCCCCTTAAAATGCTGATTAAATCCAGTCATAAAAAAGGAATTAATTTGGAATTAAATACTGTATATTTTCGAGGAATAAATAGGTGGTTCAGTACATCTGAATAAGTGGTTCAGTACATTTGAAATCAAATCGCGATGTAGACTAGTGTGTGTGAATATTAAACCACAAAGACTATTTAAATAAATACGAATCCTGCTTGCCTTGTTCTGTGTAAATGTCGACTCTCATTTCATTTACCACGCACACACTATATGAAGAAAGAAATGATTGAACTTCCTCTCTAGATCCACTCTGAAAGTCACTTCGTGATCATTTAACAGCTTCATTTGAGAAACTATCATTATGACATAATGAAACTATCATCATGACACACAGAAACTCAAAAGGTCTTCGCGGCAAACCGTCAAAATAAAAGTTCGGTTTAGCTTGACAGAAATATATTACTGTTGTACAGTAGAATTTAGATATGTCCAGATGTAATAATACACTAACACAATTTTTTAAACAAAACTGAATTTAAGGAATGATCCATGTTTTAATTTTAACTAAAGCTCATTGTGCAGCACATTATTTGACAAAGTTTATGATAAATTATAAAATTTGTGTTTTATGGCTTCATTTGATTACCAGCAAAAACACAGAATGAGTGTAGTGTATATATACAGTAAATGCTTTCACACTATCAACGAACCAAACCTTTTTTCAGTTTGATCCGGATTGAATTCTACCTCTTTTCGTCAAATCTATGGTCCGAATCTATAATTTTGATTCGGACCAAACTGAAAAGTCCGAAAGTCCGGAACAAACAAGGTAGGTGTGGAAGGGCCCTAATATAGGACGCCACCTTCTTATGATGCAACAAGTACATCAGGATTTGTGGGGATTGCTCCCGGTTCAGGCTGATCTAAACTATGCAGCCTAAATTGAATTATCTAAGTCTATGATTCGTTATGTATGCTAGGCCAAAGAGATGGTTTTTCTGCAGTGCTGTGCACCAGTCCTTGGCCGAGCTCTCGACCCAGTCGCATGTTCACATCCAGTTTGAGGTATTTATAGACGCCACACGCGCCTAGTTGTTGAGCTCTAGCCTCTGGAGCCCAGCGCGACCAGAGATGCATGTTCGGGGTTAGCGGCATGTGTCTGCGCGCTCTTCTGTTTATTAGAAGATGCAGTCGTGGGATTTCTGGGATTCGTGTTTGTGGCCAGGGCTTTTACTTGATGTTTGTGTTGCGAGCGAGGTCAAAAAGGCAGCCTGAGAAATCATTTCTCACCACTAGCCTGCTGAAATTCCTCCCAGCAAGTCGACAAACGACATCTGCTTTAGATATAAGAGTTTCTCAGCCTTCACTCTTTCCACTTAGAGTTCATTTAGCCACTTTCAGATGGATTTATATTGCTCTGTGAGTAGGGATATATAGATGTATTTATTGACGACAGAGATTGTGAGAGTCATTGCTGCTGATCGTTTTACTGGGAGTGTATTACTGGACAGGGATGTCCCGTTTCCTCCACTGGGTGAACTCACCATTTTCTTTGCCACTATAATAGATCACAGATTTCAGCATAAGACCACAACCAGATCTGGCACATTGTTTCCTGGTTACTCATAGTGAATTTGTAATGGATTTCCAATCTGCCAATCACACTTTATTGGTTCCCTTGTGAGTGATTTAATTTTTCCAAATGCTGTTCTGTACAGTCCTATTTCACCGTCATCCTGATGTGAAAGCTATATTAATATGCTAAATCATGAATCCTAGCTCCTTTTGTCCCAACCAGCCACATTATTTTGTTGATCGCTTGGTTTCTATTTCTGTGTTAATCTCATCGCCCCAAACTCATGCTTTTCAATGCTGGATAATACATCAAATATATTCCAATTGGTGGTTGTTGATGTTAACAAAAGTGCAGTTCACTTAACACCGTGTGTGTATGACTGATTTGGTTGATCAATAGCTGATGGAGTAACTAAATGTATAATATTTATTTATTTCAATTACATTTTAATTTCACCATGAGCTAGATATGTGGTAGATTACTACTTGTAAAGAACAAATTCTGGTTGGAAATTTTGCATGTCAGTCTGTCCTTGCCAATGCCAATAATTGAAAAATGACACTTGTTTTAGTCACTAGTCTTGGAGGATAAAAACAAAATACTTCTCAATATAGCCCGACCGATAAAGGATTTTGAAGACCGATACAAATATTTTTGGGTTTTAAAATCTGATATTCTGATATATCGGCCGATATTTTATTTTTTTTCATTAAATATTGTTGGATTTCACACACGTGTAAAAGAAAAGCTAACTTTTCTGCACAAGATACGTTTGATACTTTTTCTCTATGTCTAAATGTTCACTCCTCGCAGGGATAACTTACATTTTACAATGCAGGGACTGTAACTAGAGATATGCTAGTTATAAATACAGTAATCATTACTTTATTTAGGCAGAAAAAGTTCATTGCAGTTTCCAAGATCATTAATGTTAACATTAGCGTTCTTCCACTGATGATAGTGGCGTTAGCTATAGCTTTGTGGTTAGCTAGTCTATGATGAGCCATAATTTAGCAAAAGATAACATCATACTGCAAATTGTAAAACATACATTTTCAATAAAACAGGCCAAGGAGAGATGATTGAAGCGTGTTTCATCCGTTTTTATTTTATTTTTTAAATATTTATTTATCGGCCATTATAACTGCCGATACCGATATTTTGGAAAATGCCTATCGGTCACCCGATATATCGGTCTGGCTCTACTTCTCAATCAAATTCAGAGTGTTTTCTGTGGCTCTGTTGATATCGGCAAGTCTTCATGAATTATCTGTGAGCCCATGACTGCCATATTGAAACAAAAATCTCAAACAATGGCGTGTGTGTGGCTGCAGGCTTGGAACAGGAGAGTTATTGTGACTCATCTCTGGATTACATAAACACACACTCACAAGACACTCTGCCTGAAGCTCCACACTGCTTTAGTGGGAGATGTTGCTATTATCAACATTATAAACTTCAGATTCAAGAATCAGAAATAGCTCAATTTGCCTTGGCATTTAGATTTTTTTTTTTTTTTACATTTTTCTTTTTGCGTCCATTTTTAATAGCAAATATCTAGCTTGGGTTCTGGGTGTGTGCGTAACGGACGGTTTATATATACACTCAAAATATGTGTAATATAAATTATATACACATACTACATTCTCACCACTTGAGTTGGTCATTTTTATGCAAGTTAAATGTAGCAAATGGCATCTAGATATAATATAAGTTATGGTTATTTTTGCATTTTCACTAATGTTTTTACTAAAAACAAAAAGCAGAATACAAAAAATTAAGGATGCATGATATATCGGCCACCATATTGGTATTGATTACATATTCTGACCAGCACGTAACTTCAAGTTATTTTGTGCAGATACAAGTTGTAATGTTTATGTTGTATAAACATCTGATTAATCTCATATAGGATGAGTTTTGTTGAGTTAATCAACCCGCTAACTTCAGTTTCCCAGTGTTCATTCGGCGCTTCAGCAGTGCTGTTTATTTGAAACCGTGACATTAATTTTTGATGTTTCTTTTTCAAAAAGTGAGATGCATTATTGATTATAACTTGCACTTTTATTTTTTTTTGTAATATAACTTTCATCAACAATATGGTGTAATTAAAATAATTTAATTGTCCTTAAAGAGGCTATTCCATTTTTTTTTATTCATGGCACATGCAGTTTGATTCTTTATTTACTTAATTTTAAAACTTGATCTTACTAGGCTACAATACTGTATATGTTTGATTTGTTGAAGTGCTTGAGACATGGCTTTTAATGGTGACCAGGCTCTCAAAAATAATATAAAAATTTTGATTAAGGCTTACAATTTTCTGCTATAAATAATTATCAGTATCATGCAAAATTATTGGTGCATCCCTAGAAAATGTGCATATTGTTCACACACAGTATACATACTATTATATATATATATATATTTTGCAAGATGTAAACACTGGTCCAGAAGCACTTCCTCTTTCAGTTTTTTAACACTACATAAAAGCTGGGATAAAATACAACCAACAGAACATGTAAAACTGAATCAAAAAGTTAAACAAACATCTTTAAGATGTTTTCTTTACATGTGAAATAAAGAAAACAGTTACAAACTGAAACAGGAAGTGTTTCTGGACCAGTAGTGTTTACATCTTGCAAAATGGCTTGCTTTTGGAAACATTGGACCCGAAGCCTGTATATGTTTTATAAATGATGCCTCATCCGCATCATTTTTAATTGTTTTGTATTGTTTTATTTATATATATCTGTACTGTGTTGTTTATATGGACCTTTGTGTCTTAAATAAAAAAATGATTGATATACTAAACTTTATGTTGTTGTATGCTATTCCAAACATAACCTTTGTTTGTGCCACTGCTATAAGGATATTTGTGTACCACCATTGCATAACACCATTTAGTTATGAACATCCCACGAGCGCGATCTTCCCCCATGTCTCCTGGAATGCTCTCCAACCCGTCGGCTTTGTTTCTTTGCATGAGTTGCTGAGCAGATGCCATGGGGCAGACGGCCAGGGGATCAGGTTCTGCTACTATTGTCCCGCCTGAGTTTCACTGCGCATGGAAATTGAAAGCACTTCAGATCGGCGTGGAGCTCTGAGGGACTTTGGTGTGTTTTATTTCAGAAGAGTCTGGAATTATCACATGACAAGCACTTGAACTTTGAACCGCTGTCTGTGGGAGAGGCGTGGATGGTGTTGAGCTGTGTGGAGCGGACACAACTGCGCTGTTTTGATTTAGCACAAGCGACGAGGATCCAGCCATGTTATCAAGCTTCTAAAGAGAGCATGACTGCATGTTCTTCTGCAAAGCGTCGGAAAGAAAAATATCAAGACCACAGACATCTGCTCTGCTGATGGATATCGCACTATAAAGTCTGCTTTTACTACACTTCAGGTAACAAGACTTTTCCAGAAAGAGGGAACGGCAGCTTTTTGAAGGAATGACGCAGTTCATATGGGAAAAAATTCTTGAAATGTGAATCACATCTTGCAGGACCTTTTAAAATGGGTGTGTTGAGGCCTGAACTTATCTCTGCTCGCCTCTCTCTACACGTTTTATGGTTCACCCACCTGGATTATAGGTTTAAGGCTGGTCATTTAATAATTAATGTAGAATTAATGTACTGTATTCATGAGTGAAATTTGCTTTCCTCTGTTGACTTATATCCTGTTCCAACAGGAAGTTGGTGAAGGGTATATTTCGAAGGGTTTGTTCTTCCAAAAGGACTTCCCACTTTGTCATAGTCATGCAAAACCTGGCAATAATAGGAGAAATTACATGCTTGGAAAGCTCATGGAAATGAGTCAAATTTTTAAAATGTGTGTCCAATTACATATGCATGTTAAAAGTTTATTTTGTCATCTTTAAGATTGCATCATATAAATAGCCGGGAGTGATGTTTTGGAAAATCTTTGCCATTATGCATATTTTTCAGGGTTTATAGATTGGATCAGGGTTCATGGATTGTCATGTGGTTCTCTAGACTCCATTCCCCTTGACTTCATTCAGTTAGACTCATTTCGCAAAGTCTCAGTGACCGAGATCATTTCATATTCTGTTTCTGCCCGTTTGCTCTCTAAAGCAGAAAGTCCACCGGTATCACTGCTGACCTTTTGAACCACGTCATTTAAGCACGGGAAACTGGGTTTAAGTTCAGCTTTGCCAACTGGACATAGCTGGAATCATTTAGATGATATCTGATGTTTTGATGAATAGCATGTCTGTGATTTAATACACTTTATGAGTTGTCGACTTGTTCCTTTTATTGGCAATGTCACAGTACTGGATATTACCTTGCATAATGTGACGTGCCATGGGGATTATAGTTAAAGGAGTAGTTCACTTTTGACACAACTTTGGCTGATAATTTACTCACCCCCATGTCATCCAAGATGTCCATGTCTTTCTTTCTTCAGTCGAAAAGAAATGAAGGTTTTTGATGAAAACATTCCAGGATTTTCTCCATATAATGGACTTCAATGGGGTCCAAACGGTTCAAGGTCCAAATGAGAGTTTCAGTGCAGCTTCAAAGGGCTTTAAACGACACCAGACGATGAATAAGGGTCTTATCAAGCGAAACCATCGCTCATTTAATTAAAAAACAACAAAGTTTAAGTTTTATAAGCTCAAATGCTCGCCTTGCTCTGTTCTGTGATGCATGTTCGTGACTCTCCTGTTCAAACTCGTTCATCAAAATGAACGAATCTTTTTCCGAGTCAATTTGTTCGTTTCGTTCTTTGAATGAACCAAATGACTCAGAAAAAGATTTGTTCATTTTGATGAACGAGTTCAAACAGGAGAGTCACAAACGTGCAAAGAACAGAGCAAGGCGAGCATTTGAGCTTATAAAACTTAAACTTTGTTGTTTTTTTAATGAGCGATGGTTTCGCTTGATAAGACCCTTATTCATCGTCTTTAATCGTTTAAAGCCCTTTGAACAGTTTGCACAGAAACTCACATTTGGACCTTGAACCGTTTGGACCCCATTGAAGTCCATTATATGGAGAAAAATTCTGGAATGTTTTCATCAAAAACCTTCATTTCTTTTCGACTGAAGAAAGAAAGACATGGACATCTTAGATGACATGGGGGTGAGTAAATTATCAGCAAAAGTTTTTTCAAAAGTGAACTACTCCTTTAAGTCAAAAACACAAAAAGGTAAATGAAACACAACCTGTATCTCTCATGTGGTGTGCTAATAGTTTCAAGTTATAAAAGGGGCTGTACTGTAAAAGATTAACAGTGCAAAGTTGAATCGGTTGAGTGAGTCTGCTAGCAAATATTTGCACCAACTTTCCTCATGCATAGTGTCAGTAGACCCGTCCCAGTATGTCCATAAACCATTAACAATCTCTCTTTCTCTCTTCCAGTGTTGTTCCAGCACCACTGCCACTGGCTATTGATAAGGTAAGCGCTCGTGACCGTTTTCTTTCGTTATGCAGGATGTAAGGTTGTTTTTCTCCAGATTAAACTCAAACCAGATCATTATGTTCTGTATAATTGTGTAGTTTGGATATCAAACCGCATGCAGCTTTGCTGTGTTGTCCTTGAAGCAGCTTGTTATGAATGCCATTGATTTCCATGTCCTTGCTGTTACCAAAGCCTTGAATTGACATCAGCCAGCATTATGTGCTGCTATCTGAGGTTTCCATGCATGTATTTGTGAACAATCCTGGAGGTGGTCCAGATGAAGTTAGATAATGCAGTTTTCCTCTCATGCCATCCTCTGTGTGGGATGCCTCTGTGGAGCTTCAACATTATAGTTGTGTGTCGGATCGTTCCCAGTAGTGCACAGAGGTGTCTTTCTTTAAGAGATTTAAATATATACTCATCCTTAATCACATTAGTGTTTAAACAGAAATCTAATAAAGCCGTTCTCTTCTCTTTGTTGCATCTGGAATCAGATACTATTACTGATAGCATGTTGAGATCATTGCCATGCTAGAGTCAAACTACATCCCAATTCATATAACTATATTGTGTAATTTAGTGAATTAGTACACTAAAGCTTTCAAAGTTTAAAAAGTAAAAAATGTTTTTGATTGAATTCTCATCTGCTCACCAAGGCTGCATTTATTTAATCGGCAATAAAAATAGAGTAATTATTGTGAAATAGTATTATTATTTTTTAGGGCTGTCAAACGATTAATCGCAATTAATCTCATCCAAAATAAAAGTTTGTGTTTACATAATATATGTGGGTGCACTGTGTATAATTATTTTATATATATATATATAAATACACACACATGTTTGTATACATTTAAGAAATATTTTCATGTATATACTGTATATTTATTTATATATAATTTATATTATATATAAATATTTTATATATGAATAATATTTTTTTCTTAAATATACATGTATGTGTGTGTATTTATATATACAAAATAATTATATACAGGGCACCCACATATATTATGTGAACACAAACTTTTATTTTGGATACGATTAATCGTTTGACAGCCCTATTATTTTTTATTATTTGAATGTATTGTAAATGGATTTTATTCCTGTGATCAAAGCTGAATTTTCAGCATCATTACTCAAGTCTTCTGTGTCACATGATCCTTCAGAAATCACTCTAATATGATAATTTGAACAAGAAACATTTATTATTATCAATGTTAAAATAGTTCTTAATATTTTTTTTAACTGATAATTTTTTCAGGATATGTTGACGTTCAAAAGCATTTATTTGAAATAAAAATCTTGTATCATTCTGTATGTTTTTACTGTCGCTTTTGATGAGTCCTTGCTGAATTAAATAATTAATTTCACTCAAACAACAAAAAAATCTGATCCCAAACTTTTGAACAATTGTGTATGTATACTTTTTGTGCAAATTTTCTTACAGGAGTTCGATGTTAAAGCAGTTTTTAAATGTCAAAAACCATAAAGTGAAGTAATAATGAATGTTTTGGGGAGTGTTTCGATTTCAGTCAGGAGTTGTACTGTAACTCGGGCAGATGGATTAGGAAAAACAATTAGCTAATGATATCAGTGTACTGATGGGGCTTGACATCATCTGCATCTGTGATGACAAAACCTTGCATGTGTAAATCATTGCATCACTGTTACTCTGAGCCTCCATCTGTTGTAATGAAGATGGACCGGCGTCCCCCCTAACCCCTATGAATGCAGACCTGTCAATGTCACATCCATTCCCAGATGCATATAGCGCTTCTATATCTGACGGCAGCATCTGACGCTGTCAATATAAAAACACTCTTTCTGACTTTCTCTCTGCTCTGGGAGTGTCTCATCATGTGGATTCAATAAATGTAGCAAATCTTGAGTCACAATTTCACTATTTAGAACATTGTGGTTACAATATAAGGAACAAGGCCCCTATTCAGCTAGACTGGGTTCATTCAAGGTTATTTGCAAGGTTTCACCTTTTCAAAAGATGCAATTTTAGTTTCTTGAGACTGAAAACTGCTTTTGACTGGACTGTTAAATGCATCAAGGACAACATGTGAAAAGATGCTCAATAGATTAGTGTTTTGTTGAAGTACACTGACCCGAGGTTGTGAGAGAAAAACAATCTGCACACAGTTTATCTATTTTTTTCTCCTTCTCTCATGCAGGTGTCCGCAAATACACCCAATATGTATTCTCAGGAACTGTTTCAGCTCTCCCAGTACCTGCAGGTATGGAACAACACTGACCTCTACAGGCCATCTGCAGGCATTACCTATCAAAATAATGAGAAAAGATGAGATGTTGATCCTTTTTTATGTACTGGTCTTGAAATGTAATATATTAATACAGTAAATTACTATATATTTATTTAATAATATATATTTATTATTTAATGTAAATCATTTTTATATTAAATAATTTTACTTTTATAATTTTGAATTAAATGCATCATTGAATTAAATGCATCATGTATTTATATATATAAAATGTATTATTTATATATAAATACATGATGCATTTAATTCAAAATAGTAATATTGTGAAATATTTGTACAATTTATTATAGCTGTTTTCTATTAATATTTGAATATATTTTGAAATATAATTTATTCCTGTGATCAGATATGTTATATATATATATATATATATATATATAATATATATATATGAAGAGTTCAGATGCAAAAGCCTCTAAGTGCCATTTGAAATTTTCTTCTAAAATGACCATTTTTATCAAGCTTGTATATTTAAGTTCAGTAATTTCACTTAAATGGCAATGAAGATTACCTATTAATTGTCATTTAAGTGAAATTACTGAACTTAAATATACAAGCTTGATAAAAATGGTCATTTTAGAAGAAAATTTCAAATGGCATTTAGAGGCTTTTGCATCTGAACTCTTCATATATATATATATATATATTATAAATAATATATATATGTAACAATATATCATGTTACAGTATATCGCAATACAAAAATGCAACAATATGTATTGTGGATAGTGACTATGTATTGTTCGGTTCACCCAAAATATTACATTTTTTTAATTTAAAATTACAATTTTTCAAAAAATTTTAGTTTTCAGAGTTTTTGTGTCCGTACTACATTTAACTACTATATATAATGTTGAATATACTGTATAATAATGCAATGCGGGAATATTTATGGGTCCTGAATGATAATGCGAAATGTCTTGTTACCAGTAAAAAGTGGCCTACATTATTTTAAATGTATGTAGTCAGTGACGGAGTGCATATTTGTCTAAAATAATTTGGTAACGCTTCCTTTTACAGTCCAGTTACCATTGTAAATACTATGTACTTATTTTAGTAACTTCAATTACTGGGTAATAACTAGTACTAACCCTAAACCTATGTACTTACCTTATATTAGCCAGTACTTTCTAGGTAAGTACACTGTAAGTACTATACTGTAAAAGGAAGCGATAGCAATAATTTATGTATTTTCAGCTTCAGAATCATGAATATTTTTAATTATATATATATATATGAAGAGTTCAGATCCAAAAGCCTCTAAATGCCATTTGAAATTTTCTTCTTTAATGGTGATTTTTATCAAACTTGTATATTTAAGTTCAGTAATTTCACTTAAATAACAATTAATAGGTAATTAGGGCCCAAGCCCTGAAAGGGCGAAGGCCCTATTGTTTTCCTTAGGATTATTATTATTAGGGCCCAAGCCCTGAAAGGGCGAAGGCCCTATTGTTTTCCTTAGGATTATTCTTTTCTATTATTATTATTATTATTATTTTTCTTACGACTATTCGGGCACTTTTGGGGCCCTTAACATGCTCGAAAACTCTTGAAACTTTGCACACGGGTCAGAACCCGCGGCCATCAGAGTCGGGCTGAAGATGGTACCTGGGCGTGGCAGGGGGGCTCGTCAGCGCCCCCTGGAATGGGGTCCGAACACTTGGTCCATAACTCAAACACGCTTGCATGTAATAATATGAAACTCGGTACGCATGTTGATCTCATCGTTTCATCTATACCTCGCGCTTTTACTTTTTACCCCAGCCCAACAGGAAGTCGGCTATTGAGGTTTGTTTGTAAAACGCTCGCAATGGTATTTGAAATACTCCTCCTAGAGCTTTGATCCAAATTCGACGATACTCGGTCAGCGTGAAGTCAAGACATTGAGGATGAAAGCTTGTGTGGGGATTTTTGATATCTCGAACGGTTTGGCCGTGGCGAGGAAACGAAATCATGGCGAGAAACGTGAAACAGGAAGTTTGTTATAACTTCAGCATAACATTAACTGATCTTGATGAAACTTCAGCAGTATGTTTCGCTGTAAGAGGACGATCACATGGATGTGACTATTGTGAGTCAAAGTTATAGCGCCACCAACTGGCAGCAGGAAGTGTGTCACTTTCAAAATGCTTTGATATCACCCTTTTTATTTTTTACCCGATTTGCTTCAAACTTCATATGTATAAATGTAAACATACGGCAGATGTAGACCTGTGAATGGATTCTTGATATCTTTGAAACTGTTGCCGTGGCGACGCATCAAACTTTACCCTTCTTTTAGGATGCTTTTAGGATGCTTTTGAGACCCTTAGCATGCTTTAAATTGCATGAAACTCGACAGAACACATCACATTTATTAGCCAGTAGACATGTGCAAAGTTTGCAGAAACGGGCGTGGTGAGGGCTCAGTAGCGCCACCTTTTGACAAAAGTGGGGTTGTTAGTTTTATCTACAGTTACAAAAATCGGTATGTATATTGTACTCCTCGAGCCGGACAACTTTCTAATTGACACTCATTAGCTAGGACCACAGAAAGTCAGATATGTTTGTTTGAATGTAGAGAAAATCTCAGAATTTTGCCAGTCTCTCAGTGTCTCTCTGTGTGAGTGAGAGGAGGGGGGCTTGTCAGGTTAATTTTAAACCCTTTATTTGCTGTGTGCGACTTCTCTGGCATTTTCGGGGCCTTAACAGCCTCGAAAACTCTTGAAACTTTGCACACGGGTCAGAACCCATGGCCATCAGGCCGGGCTGAAACTGGTAACCGGGCGTGGCAGGGCGGCTCGACAGCGCCCCCTGGACTGGGATTCGAACATTTGTCCATAAATCAAACACACTTGCATGAATTAATATGAAAACTCGGTACAATTATAGATCACATCAGGCCAAACAACTTTCGTGCTCTAAGTTTTATGACAGTTCAAATGGAAGTTATTTATGAAATTATGAATTATGGGTTGTTTGAATAATTGTCCAGAAAGAGAAATACATCACACAATGCATGTGTTTACCAATCACAACCAAACTCGGTGTGCATGAAGTCAAGACATTGAGGATGCTTCAATTCCGGACGGATTTTTGATATCTAGCGGTCTGCCCGCTGGCGAGGAAATGAATTTTATGACTAAAAAGGACACATAAAGTGTGTATAACTTTGCTCAATTACCTACAGTTACAAAACTTACCACGTATATTGTTCTCGTCAAGCCGATCAACTTTCCAATTTAAAGTCATTCGCTCTGCAGAGCAACAGAAAGTCATATTGTAGTTTGAATGTATTTATTTCCCCTGCGATTCTCTCTCCTCTCTCTCTCTCTCTCTCTCTTCTCTCTCTCTCCTCTCTCTTCTGTGTGTGTGTGGGTGTGTGTGTCTGTGTGGGGAGGGGAGGGCTGTTGTCTGTGTTTATGTGTGTGTGTGTGGCTGGCTGTGATTTTTCCTACAAGTCCTTGTCTCTAAGTCCTTGTCTTTTTGCATAACAATTTTGCATAACAATATTTTTAAATGACAAAATAGGCATATAACCCCCATCTTTTAAATGTATAGATTGCTTTAAATAAAAGTAAGATTGTATTTGTAATTGAAGTTGAATGAATTTAAAATTCATGTGCTATATTTCAATATATTTGTTTTCCTTAAGATTTTAAAACACTAACTTCATTCTTATCTGAATTACAAATATTTGTTTCTGTATAAAATAATACTCTGACTAAAAACACATTTGATGTTTTTTTTTTTGGTATTTTTATTTACATGTATTTATGTGTGTGTGTGTGTGTGTGTGTGTGTGTGTGTGTGTGTGTGTGTGTGTGTGTGTGTGTGTGTGTGTGTGTGTGTGTGTGTATAAAGTGCAGGGTTTTTTTTAGATAAAGTAGAATTTCTATAACTATGTGTTGAACTAATAAATCACTCTTGTGTGTGTTAAACACAATCTACTTAATACAGACAACTTCATTATAAAGATAAATAACAAATCCAAAAAATATATGATTATAATCTATGACAAAAAAAGCCATTACAAACTATATTAATGGAAAATACACATTGCTCTTTGTATTGTTGTAAAATATTCATGAAAAACAAGATAACAAAAATCAAAAAGATAAATTATTTTAGATATAGCCATGTTTTAAATGTATAGCAGAGATGTTAATTGAGGCAGCAACATACAAACTTTCTAGAACAACATGGACCTGGATAGCTGGTTTTTATGGAGGACAGTGAAGAGGAAGAGGGTGCAAATCAAACAGCTCATTCTCAGACTACACAGCAAACAGCTTAAGTTTTTAGTGCTTTGTTTGAGGTTTTTAGTGCTCTGTCCTATCTATTATCAACATATAATAGATGGAACAGAACAAGAAAGGCAATTAATAATCTGTCATTGCGTCACTGCATTATGATATGAAAGGCTCAGTACAGTGTGGCACAAAACGCTTATGCGCATCCCGAGTGGAGAATGATGCGCTTAAAGCCACATGGGGTTACAGCGCACAGCGCATCGAGTCCGCATTGATGCAAGCTCTACAATACACTTCTTTTTGATAGTCAAAGCGGGGGTTACGTTTTTACACGTCGTACAGAATAACCCTAAAGGCACCAAGGTGGCGGTGCCACCGGCTTTATATTAAATATAAATATAGCTGTGAGCAGCAATAAAGGGCCAAAGCCGGCGGTACCACCATCCCGGTGCCTTTGGGTAACTAAAGGCATCGGGTTGCGGTGCCACCGGCTTGGGCCCGCAATCGCTGCTCGCAGCTATATTTATTATTTATTATTATTATTATTATTATTTATACGACTATTCGGGCACTTTTGGGGCCCTTAACATGCTCAAAAACTCTTGAAACTTAGCACACGGGTCAGAACCCGCGGCCATCAGGGCCGGGCTGAAGATGGTACCCGGGCGTGGCAGGGGGGCTAGACAGCGCCCCCTGGAACGGGGTCCGAAAACTTGGTCCATAAATCAAACACGCTTGCATGTAATAATATGAAACTCGGTGCACATATAGATCTCATCGTTCATATAT